CTCAGAGTAGACTGTTAGGGTAGGTTTAGGGTTAGGAGAATAAGTTGACAAAGAAAGTGTTAGAAGATATTAAGCAGACAGTCTACTAATACTCTACTAACTGCTAGTTGACATGTAGTTGCAAAGTTACTGTTAATAGAATATCTAAAGTGGACTATCGAAATAAAGTGTTACCAAGCGTTTTTTTGTAGTTGTTTTTTAAGTGGCTTTTGCACATACTGACTACGTGCCGCTGCAATAGACGCATTTTGCAGCATTAAGGTTACCGATTAATCGATTAATTGATCGTTAATTTAAACGACGATCGATCATGGAAATGATCGAAAATTGACATCCCTGGATCAATGTGAATCTACTTGATTCATTTATTCATTCATTCATTCGCAGTGCTGGGGGTAACGCATCACAAGTAACGCAGATTACTTTTTTCAAGTAACTAGTAGAGTAATGCATTACTTTTTAATTTACATGGAAATATCTGAGTTACTCTTTCAAATAAGTAACGGCAGATTTCCATGTCTTGACTGACAGCTCTGGTGTTGCCATGTTGAGAGAAATCGGGAGAAAGTGCAGAGGCGTTGTGTGTGAGCATGATCTTACTGTAGTTCTAGACTACATTCATTTAACTTTTGTTGTGAAAGGGCTTTTTATATTTGTACAAGAAAAACTTTTATATATTAAAAACAAACAAGCAAACCCTGCCCAGATTTAAAAAGTAACTCAAAAGTAACGTAACGCATTACTTTCCCTAAAAAGTAACTAAGACTCATATTTTTGGACAAGCTTTTAATTAACAATATGGTTTGGCTGTTATTGAATTTTGTGGTGTTTGTACACCTGGTGCTTAATTTGTTTTGGTTTTATTTTCTTACTGTAAAGCACTTTGTGACTCCTCCTTGTCTGTGAAAGGTGATATATAAATAAATTTTACTTACTTACTTACTAAGTAATGTAATTAGTTACTTTTTTAGGGAGTAATGCATTCATTCATTCTCTGTTCACCTATAAGAATCTCATGAAAACATCTCCAGCTCATATTTCACTCCAAAATCGAAAGAAAGAATTAAGTATATTATTATATTTGCCATAAAGAAAATAAAGCCTGTCGTTCGGACCATTAGGACTTTTTGCACATTTGCATGACAATTAAGCACATTCACATTACTGTAATGTGTCTGCACTTTTTATTTTTAATGGAAATTCTCACTAGATGCTCATTTCCTTAATGCAACCATTTAGTATCAATTACTTTAAATCAGCATACATTAAAGACAATGCTGCACTTTATATTCTGTCTTTTAAGAATGGGTTTTCAATCCTTTAAATACCACAGACCCACAAATATGATCATCCTCATGGAAAGGGCACAGGGGCGTCATGCACTCATTTTATTTTTGAGGGGGCACGAGTGACGTGTCATGTGTGTCATGCCATAAAATATTTTAATATGACTGAATTTAATAAAAACATTGTAATTTACTTAATATAAGACTTTCATTGTACAGAATGAAAGCAAATATAATCACTGAAGCTGTTTACACTGTGAAATAATAATCTTACTTTCATTCGTAAGCACATCTGCACTTTGTTGTTTCTGATGAGAGAATCGCCAGAGAGCAGGATTCCTTCAGCGAGCGACTGAACAAAACCGCGATGAGTCATCTGAACGCCTCTGATTGCATTCATAAGCTCAACAGAATCGTGTGTGATTGGTTATAATGCTGTAAAAACGTGTCTGTTTCTGGCTCAGCGCCAGCCAAAGCGCGAACGCAGATTTGAATTTAGCAGCTGATGCTGTGCCGCACTGCACGTTCTAATCGCGCCGGTGTGATTGTAATTATGAAATATAAAAAATATAATTTGGCTATTTTTTTTTGTCTTTTGGAAGTTGCATTCAAAATCCACTTGGCTCAAAAATCTGAGGGGGCACGTGCTCCTCAGTTGAAAGGACAGCATCATAAAAGTTATTGTATAAATCCCTTGTATAAAGACCCAACTGATGAAAAAATTATATTACATATTTCTGTTATTTGGAAAAAATTTTAATCAAGTTGCATTATTCTATTCTACTCTATTGTACATGTAATATTTATTTATTTACTTTTAATTTATATATATAAATAATATATATATATATATATATATATATATATTAGTGCTCTCACTCTATTAAAAAATTTATTATATATATATATA